GGGGGGCGGGAAGGGCAGCCTGAGGTCAAAGCAAGTGCCAAATAGTGACATTGACACAGTCAGCGTGCGACTTTGAAAAAGAGTGTAGCCCATCCTGTGATATGGAATTTGGTGGAAAGCGAAGAGGAGCCATATTGCACTGGTAGTGGGAGTGCCTGACTTTTGGTGGATTTATGTCTTCTCCTTGTGAATTTATGCACTGAGTTGGGTGAGCACGGCACAGTTCTCCAGGAGAACTTTTTTTTTTTGTTTTCCTTTTCCTGCTTGGAACAGCAGAGCCCGAGAGGAGCGGGAATTTGAACATGAAATATTGATCATTTTTAGAATGAGAATTAGGGAATAATTTACATATAGTTTTTTGGTATTTATAAAACATGTAATATTTGCACATCTCAAAATAAATAATCTTATTAAAATCATAGTCTCTTTATTAACCAAAAAAAAAAAGAGAGAGAAATCTCTACAATTTACGAACAATTTGATTTTCTTTATTTAGGTCACCAGAATCTTGACTATAATATTTAGTAAGAATTACCCAAACTGCTATTTTATACTAAAAAAATGGGGGGTATTCATCATGTTAGAAGCTTATGATTAGGAGATAAGAAGATTACTGAGTGATTAAATGTGCACTATGACATAAGAATTCTACAGGAGTAGCAGAAACCCTCATGGTTCCCCAACATCTGTTCTCTCTCTCCTCTCTGCCACAGTAACAGAATGTTTAGCTACCTAGAATTTGGGCAAATGATTACATCTTACAGCTTTCCCTTACGAGCAGGTATTGCCGTGCGATCAAGTTCCGCTGGTTACGTGATACCTGACACCGTGGAGCTGTCACACCAGCTCTGGACCTTAACTGCAGGACTGACTGTTCGTGAGAAATAAACATCTGCTTCTTTCAGACACTGTCGTTCTGGCTTTCTCTTGCCTTACTCAAATAATCCGTGCTACACCATAAGTGTGTATAATCGTGTATATCTTTATGGTGAAGTAGTTTGTAGTTATTTACCGTTTTGCAGTCAAAGACCATTTTTATATGACCTGACAAAATACTTGTAATGTATTACTAAGTGAAATAAAAATAAACATGCATATGCAGTATGATACCAGCTTTTGTAAAAATAATATGTATATGCAGAGAAAATGGCACACAGCAATTATTTTTAGGTGGAAAGTTTTGAGTAATTTTTTACATTTCCAAGTTCCTATGATAAACATATATTTCTTTTGTAATCAGAAAAAAACATGTGCTTTAAAATATATACAGTATATAAATATCTGCAAGTCTGTCTATCTAAAGGTACATGAGGTGTTCTGGCGTCAACATCCAGTTTCGCCTCACGAGAAAGGCCAAGTGACTGACCTTTCTTCTGGTTTGTCTGGATTCTTCTTCTTGTACCAGCGAAGTTCTGCTAATTAATTTCTTGATTGTCTTACACCGTTTTCATTTTTCCCCCCACCTGGGCTGGATGTGCTGTTCTTATATTAGGACTTCTGTTAGGACTGTTTTTGCTATTTGTAGAAAGTCTTAAGTCTTTGTTTAGGCACTTGCCCAAATGTCCTCCTTGGGCACAGTTTTTAGCAGTGCTGTGGGTTTGGAGTTTTGCTGGTTCTAATATGCTCTGCCACGATGTCCTTATTAACCAGGAATTTAAAAACTTTTTTGGTGTTTGTTTCTTCAGGATATGATAAGTTGTAGGCTCTCTAATATAAATATGCAATATCCTGCATCGCCCTACATTCTCTGCCTACATTCAGGAAAGGGGAATGTTTAAAACTCTTTGTTAAGAACTGTCACTTTCTGGAATGAAGAGTGAGTACCAGGGCAGTGTCTGTATAACATTATGAAACATCTGCTGCAGTCGCTATAACTTGGGGACATTGCCATTTAACTTTTAACTGCTACACACCCAACATTGTCTCAGCTACATTTTCACATGTGACTTTATTGGTTTCTCACAACTTCTTTGGCAGTCAGTATAGGTATTAATTATACTCATTGTTTAGATGAGAAATTAGTGGCTTAATATAGTAAAACTGGGAAGGGGTAGATCCAAGGTTCCAATTTGTCTTCTGATTCTAAAATCCAGTTATTTTTTTCACTATATCACAAGGTGAGTGAAAAGACATAGAGAGAGAGTAGTGTCGTGACAATTATAAAGTTTTATTTTCTAGAAGAAGAAAATATTCAAAATGATGTCTGAAGAAGGATTTGTCCTGCCTGAAAACCCACCTAGGACTACTGAGATATATATTTATCTATTTATGTCTGTCTGTCTATCTATCTATCTATCTATCTATCTATCTATCTATCTATCTATCTATCATCTAGAAGTTGGGGAATGGAAAGCATGAAATCTTGTGGCTGTTTAGTTTCTTTAGGTGAAATAAATGACACAGTGTCCTGTAGATACTGGGCTTTCAGTCCTGAAATTTATGAGATACATTTTTAAACCAAAGAGTAGTAACATTAAAGAAGAAACTGTTTTAAAGTTTCTTTTAAATGCTGCTACTTGGGGGAAAAAAAATGGCCAATAGAAAGATGACGGGAAAGTAGATACAATTTATGTAAGAACTAAATGAAATTCTTAATCATTCAAGGATTTAAAAATTTTCTCCGTATTACCTAAATTTCACTTAAATATGAGTGACTCGGGGTTTCTCTAATCATTGTTAACCAGCATTCTGTTGGTGAGCCATTTTCAGTGGTTTAAAAAACGAACAGAAAAAAAAGAAGAGTTAGTTTTGTAAAGCGTGAGTCCAAGGTAACTTTTAAGGTAGCCTCAGTTGCCAGTCTTCCAGTGCGTCCGAAGCTTACTGAAAGCATTTAAAACAAGCTTTCCAGCAATGTTCTTTTTTGTAAGTTAAAGCTGGAGAGGGATCTTCTGCTCTAGCCCACTGCGTCTCAACGAGGGCCAGAGAGGTGAGGAGCGGTCAGGGTCTTCTGGGACTTTTTTTCAAATTTTGTATGCCCTGCCTCTCCTTCCTCCTGGCCGTGGGGGTGGAAGGGGGCAGTGGTAGTTTGACAAAACTCCCCTGGGGTTTGGATAACTGGCCTATGGCCAGTTTTATTCCCAGAGTGGGGGAAAATGGTGAAAGG